TTAATGCACAGATAAATAATGAACAAATCTTATCTCCTTTTTGAGATGTGAAGATAAAAAAGGAGAGGTCAAAAGTAACTATAATTTTTTTGAACCAGGGAAAAGTGGCATTTACAAAACTGTGAAAAGCAGAAGTTGGCTATAAAGTAGAAGATGATGATCAATTTGATCATTAAGATTTTGAGCTTGTGGTCCCAAGAGAACATCTATGTGATTGTGATGATGATGATGATGACAACAATAATGATGTGGGTATGAGACAGAGATGGAAAGCAAGATTGAGAGAGATGAAACCAAGATTCAGTTAACTTTTATTGAGCATTTACTGTATTTAATAGGCAATGCTACATTTTCCTGTAGCGTCCATCAGTACTTGAAAGATTTTACTCTTTCCTCAAAGAAATAAAGCCATAGCCAGAAACTCCACAGAGTCTGAGAAGTGACACATCAGCTTCTCCCTAAGACCTCTCCTCTGCACTTTCCTCCCCTGCTGCCCAGCCTTAGATCCTCATGTAAGAAGGAAACAGTCCAATAAATGTGACAGATGTTTTTAATATTTCTTTATAAAAATGTCTCACCCAATATTAATAACAGTAGAGTTTTCTTTTAATTATTGCTCTATTATTACATTAATTTAAACACCCTATATAATAAAAGCATAGTATGCAAATTGTCCCCTTGGCTGGAGTTCTTCCAGGAGTTCGACCAGGGCGTGGGCAGCCCGGGGAAGGGAGGGAGGCCCTGGCTAGCGGCAGCAGGTGGCTGGGAAGGGAGGGAGTATCCGAATTTCATGCACTGGGCCTCTAGTTAATTTATATTCTGCATTTGAAAGAATTCTAAGGAAAGCTAGTTGCTACTTTTGCTTAAGGCAGATGATAAGTAATAAACCATTCATGAGATCAGCTTTCAGATGAAACAGGAGATGATAGGGATGAGGAGAGTTAAAAATGATTCTTTTAGCCTGGCCGTGGCAGCTCAGTGGTTGAGTGTTGACCTATGAACCAGGAGGTCATGGTTTGATTCCCAGTTGGAGCACATGCCCAAGTTGTGGGCTTGATCCTCAATAGGGGGCATGCAGGAGGTAGCCAATCAATGACTCTATTTCATCATTGATGTTTCTTATCTCTCTCTCCCTCTCCCCTCTGAAATCAATAATATATATATTTAAAATGGTTCTTTTAAAGAGGAAATACAATAAAGATAGAATAAAAACCTTCTCTGGGAAACCCAGAGAGCTCTCCCTATGCTTGCCCAGGTCTCAGAAACCCGCTGTCCTGTAAGGTCCCTGGCTGAGGGTGAACCTGAGGTGGCCTGGACAGTGCTTGAGCCTGGCTGGCTCATTGTTCTAGCTCTGCTGCTTGGACCAAGTCCATGTGGTCAGCAAACAGGATTGTCTGTAAGGGGGCCAGAAGCTGCAGTTTGGAGAACATTTTCTTTCAGATCACTGAATAAAACCTAGAAACTGTTAGGACGGTTACACTTTTGCGATGGAGTAAGACAGAATTATTTACTTAAAAAAATGAAGATTATGTTTTCCTGTTTCAACTTTCCCTATCTTATCAGAGATGGAAGTTCTAGTTATTTACAACATATTTGTATTTTTAAGGCAAAAAAAGAGAAGAGCTTGGAAGAACAGGCTAAATCCATTACCTTCCCAGGAGCCTTAACTCCCCAACTTCTGACATCAGGGGCTCCCTACCTCTCTGGTGGATGCACCACTTAATTGGGAGCCACACTTAAGCACTTAATTCATATTTTCCTATTCGACCTTGCTCTCCAAAGAATGCTAGAATTATTCATCCAGGGCAGAGATGAAAATTCGGGGGCACACATTTGAGATTTAAAAATTCTCAAGATTCTGTAATACTTATATACATCAAATAATATGAAAGATAATGAATAGATATTTGTCCTCTTGTGTTTCCTTTTCTATGATCAACACCATCAAAAATCCTTCTGGCATGTTCCCAAGCATGGCAAATCAAGAGTATTAAGTAAGGAGAAATAAGAAATTTAAATTTAGGCAGATTGAAAAATTCCGCATTTTATGTGCAAATGAGTATAAATTTACATATACATATGCACATTTCATGTTTATTAGATTATTTTAATGGAATTGTCTATATGGTGAATGTTGGCAAATAGCATTCATTTTTAGGATTATCTTTTACATTTTATTTAAATGTGGAGTAGTTTTATTTTCACTTTCAATGAAATGTTAGGCTTTTAAAATCTGGTAAAGGTAACATTTTTATTATTTTGGTGACATTTACTTATTTCCAATATATTTGTTTATTTTGGGCTGAAAAACTAGTATAATTGTTATGAGTATTGACAGAAACAGTCTTACTTTACACATGAAGAAAGATGCATAATCATGTTGGTTTTTCTTCCAGCTTAAATATTGTCATTTTAATACTACACTTATGTATAATGTGCCATACATTTTTAACAATGTAAGCAATTGATTGAGGAATTTTCTTAATTATTAAAGACGCAAACCTAGGAGATATATTTATAAGACTAAGGAGTCCCAATGGGAAAAGAAATAGGAAATATTAGCCCCAAATTTAGCTGATTCAGACCCTTCCACATACCTTTCTTTGCTTTTTAGGTCTTTGGGAAATTTAGGATAACATGGACTTACATCCATCATAATCTATAAATATAATATTCTTAATTTTCTACTTTGCTTTACAGGAAATCAAGGAAGCACATAGAACAAAGTACATACATTCAACCACTGGGTGGGCATTATGGGGGAGTTATTTTATTCTTGACATTCTTTTATTCAGTTTTCTCTAAAAAGAACTTAAGAAATGATGAAATGTACTCTTCTTACACCATAATTCATTTGTGAGAGGTATCTATTAAAATATGTGTTTTTTTCTCTTTCTAAGCTAAACCTGACATGAAAATAGTTTGAAAAAAATTTAAGTAATGCTGTGTCTTTTTATTAAAAACAATTTCTCATCTAAGGGCCAGTACCTGCTCACTTTCTTTATCTCAGTAGAGTAACGAACAGTTCCTTGCCTGTCATGGTCCATCGACAACTCTAGCTACTACCATCTTCCCAATCACATACCAACTTCCCAGATGCATCTCTTTCACTGGCCAGGTTGTGTTGTTGCCCTAATATGTCTTCCTGCCTTAAATATGTTAATCTCATTGGGGGGCGGGGACTACTGGAAAGTCTTCCTGTCATAACCCTAGTTACTTTCTTCTCTCTGATATTTCCCAACCACAGGGTCATTACTGGGCACCATGCCCACCTATCCATTGGAATTAGGAATGAAAATAGAAGAGTTCAATTCGGTTCGGCCAACAGTTATTACGTGTCTGTTCTGTGTCAGGAGCTGTGGTAGGTCCTGGGGTGCAGAGTAATAACCTGCTAAGTCTCAGGGAGCTCGGGATCTAATAATCTGTCTCACATTATCCATCAGCATTATCCTCCCCACGTTGCTTGCTCTGTTGTTGCTCTTACCTATGCAAGCTCTCCTACCTCCTGGGCTTGCTTCATACCTTTCCTCACTCTGTATTATTTTTCGCTTTAACCAAGCCCACACCCCATCCCCAAGAGTTTAGGAATATAATTTTTGTAACTGAATTCTCCAGAAAGGTTTCTGAGCTAAATAAGAGAAGTTATAAATAATTAACTGTTTAAATTTTTCTAAATTTAGATCACAAGCAGCAGTAAAACAAAGTTCTCATCAATTATTTGAAGTTTTAATCTGGGGGAAAAGGAACCCTTTAGTTTCTTGATTAATATTGAACGTATTTGTAGTTGACTAGTGATATATGTTGTTAGCCATTAAAAAAACAAGTGAAAATAGTAATCACACTTGAAAACAGTTTAAGGGAAAAATCTAATGGTTTATGGCAATGTGTGTATCTTAAGAACTATTTTTAAAAGAAGTATTAGAATTGAGACTTAGAAAAACCATAGAGTGCTTATATTCTTACCTGAATAAAAAATTAAGAGATTTTTCTTTCACCTATCCCCACTAACAGCAAGAACATATATATAGATATATCTCCAAGAAAGTTGTCATATCAGAGCTGAGAAAACAGAAATAAAGTACATGGAAAATGTTACAAAATGAAAGTATTTCTCTAAGTCACCCAAATTAAGGCAATAATTTCATTTCTCAGAGGCATGCACACTCTGCCTGGTTTCCTAGGAGGATCTCAGCTCTTTCCCTTTCTAAGTTCATGTATGATGCTCTTCCTCTCTCTCACCCTCCCCCCTAAAAATCACCACAGCTGCACCTTCAGAGACTAGAAACACTAAACCCTGGCTGTTGGACTACTTTCAACATTTCTGCAAGTACCCTAAATCCTCTTTATCTCTTCTAATTAAACTTTCTTTTCTAAATAAACAATAAAAGAACCCCTAAATTTAACTGATTCATAGTTTTAAAATTCTTTCCTCCCTTTTTATTGCTGTAATACTATTTTTTCTATTGTCCATTTTAAGCAGGCAGCATTTCAACTACATTTAATAGTAAACTTTTTATGAAGCTTAACCAGCATCTATAGCAATATATTATACAGAAATACATTTCTAAGACTAAGAAATGATTTGCTACTATATTGTCTGTTTTAAGCTGGAAAATGTTTCCAACAACATAGGTATTCATGTCTGGGTTTTGTACCCAGCTTCATTAATTTATACTTTTACCTAGAAATTTGCTTTTCCAAATCTTTTTAAATTTAGAGCTCATATTATTAACTAACTTGTAGTGAGTCACTTCATTTTCAACATATGAAGGACACAGTTTTTAAGAGTCTAGCTTGTAAATCCTGATTAGTCCATGATAATTGATTGAATTAAATATTGCTATGTCAAGCAAGTGACCTGGTACTTTTAGTCATTAAAAAATCCAAATTGGATTGACTGTTTGCTTCCTAATTGGATAGCAACTGGCCTGCTAAATTTCAATCAGACTGGTCATACCACATCAGTTTATCATACTTCCCCAATGCTACATTCTGCTAACTCACTCACTTGACTCATTGCCCTCTATCATCTTTCTCAAGGTGTCCTTTACTTCCGTGTTCCTCAGGCTATAGATCAGGGGGTTGAGCATGGGAATTACAAGACTGTAAAACACAGAGACCACTTTGTTGTACTCCCACGAATTCCTTGCTTTAGGCTGCTGCAGGTACATGAAAAACAACGTTCCATAGAAGATGATGACCACAGTGAGGTGTGAGGCACAGGTAGAAAATGCTTTGCATTTGCCTTTGGAAGATTGGATTTTTATGATGGAAGAGAGGATGCAAATGTAGGAGATGAGGACAGTCAGGAAAGACCCAGTGAGGTTCACTGCTGAGAAGATCAAGAGCTGCTTCTTTTTGTTGTGGGTATCTGAGCAGGAGAGGGCAAGGAGAGGGGGGTCAGCACAGTAGAAATAATGGATGACATTGGAGTCCCAGAAAGACAACTGGAAAGTCAGAACTGTCTGTATCATGGAGTTTAGGAAGCCATAGGTATAGACGCCTATCACCAACTCCTGGCAGACCCGCTGAGTCATAATCGCTGTGTAAATCAGGGGATTGCAGATAGCCATGTAGCGGTCATAGGCCATTGTGGCCAAGAGGAAGCATTCGGTAGTGGCAAAAGCACTGGAGAAGTACAGCTGGGCAAAACAGCCCAAAAAGGAGATGGTTTTTTTCTTCACCAATAAATTTTGCAGCATCTTGGGTCCAATGGAAGATGAGTAACAAAGATCAATGAATGCCAGATGGCTGAGGAAATAGTACATGGGGGTGTGGAGCCTGGAATCCATCTTGATGAGCAGGATCATGCCAAGGTTTCCCACCAGGGTGATGAGATAAATTAAGAGAAACGCCACAAAGAGCGGAAGTTGAAGCTCAGGACGGTCTGTGAATCCCATGAGGACAAATTCTGTCACTGTGGTACAATTGCCTCTGGCCATTTTGGTCTCTCTCTTGTTGGAAAAGAAACAAATATGGCTTCAAAATGATTAATTACTTAACAAAAGCTTCTTACCTCTTTGCTCTAGTACCAGATGACAAAAATTGTGCTTCACACTCCCAATGGTTAAAGGCTGTCATAAGCCAATGGGCTTCATTCTGCTAAGACAGACTCAGGAAAGTCCGAGCTCATTCATTCTCTTTTGATGCAGATTGATAAATTGACCTTTAAACAAGTTGCACAAAATTATACTCCCAATATTATTGTACAAGAATACTGATTTTGTCACAATAATATTGTGACCCAGTTTTATCATATTTTAAACCTTTGCCAACTGTGATGGTGAATATTGGTAACTCATGTCCTCTTGATTTGTATGTTTTAAAAAATTTATGAATAGGGGGTTAGCATTTTGTCAAACAATTATTTGCATATGTATTTCTTTTTCTATGTTTGGTCAGTTCAGTTCCTTTGCTAATTTTTTATGTTGGTGGTCTTTTTAAGCACTTTATTTACAGGGGCTCTTTGCTAAGAAAATCAGCCATTTGTTTGACCTATGCACTGAAAATTGTTTTGCAATGTAACTGATGTTTGAGGAAGACAAGGCATTGAAGAACTGCAAGTATTTGGTGTGGTTAAGAACAGGCTCCCTAGGAGCAAGCCTGCCTTTGACATTGGGCAAGAATAACAAATGGGGCCTGCATATCATATGCTTAATATGCAAAAGTTAAAAATAAAGAAAACAAGTCAATAAAATATGTTCTATCCTCCCTCCTTAACAAATTTACCTTTATAATAACTTGGAAGAAAGGGTACTCGGGATTCTTGGAGTTCATGCTGGGATGAGGAGGTGAAGAGAACCTGTCTCTAGCCCACATGTGGCTGCGGATGTGTGGCAATGGCAGCCTGCATGTGCACACTCTGTTCAGCCCCTGCAAACAGCTATCCCTTGGCTACCCTTGAGGCCTAGGTGTGTGGACACCAGCAGTGTGGTTCTCCCTTACAAAGGTGACCTGAAAAAGAGACTTATAGACTCTGGGAGTAAGCAAGGGGCCACTTGGGCAAGGATTTTTAGGGTCCTGTTATCTGTGTGATGATCCAAAAGGAGGGAACAGAATGGACTCTGGGCGCGCACTTGTCCCATGGGGTGTGGTGCAGTAGAAAGAGGAAGTCTGAGTTAGGAGTGGAGCAGGGGGAAATGGTCTTGAATTTGGTTTGAAAGATAGTGGATGTTGTTAGAGTTGCCAAAGGAGAAACGCACAAAGCCAAAAGGGGTAAAGAATTATTAATTCATTAGGTCATCGGGAAACCCAGATGGGCTGAGCTCCAAAATGATGCCAGCACCCAAAGACGGGAGTCAGAGGTTTTTAAAGGACTCTAGGCGAGCTCTTTCTGGGTGGAGAATTCTGGATTCTGGGAAAGTCCAGAGGGAAGAGATAATGGTCTTAGCAAGTGGAATGTGGTCTAAGCAAGTGGAATGTCCATTGCGAAGTGGCCTAAAGGTCAATTCCAAGGGGAGGGGGTATCGATTAAAATATCTGATCAGACCTAACAGACGTCTATCATACGGTCAGAGCTAGTCATACTGATTGGGAGTTATCAATAGGGAGAAGACCGTAAAAACTGTGGAAATTAATGAGATCATTCAGGGAGAGAAAAATAAGTAACAGCAAGGTTTAGTTAAAGGACATATATTTGGGAAAAGTGTATCTTTAAGGGCTGGGGATAGGAGCAGCAGTCTTAGGTGCCCTAAGATGTTCAGATTAACTCATATCAGGAAATGGTAAGCAACCTTAAATATGGACATTTATGACACTCCTGGCTTATGACAGATGAGACCTGTTTGGCTGTAGTCTTTTCTCTCTCAATAGTAGCTCAGAACGAGGACAAACTTTGAGATCTTCAGGCAAGGAAACAATCTTACTCAGTAAAATGTTTCTTGTTCTGGACTCTGAATTCATTTCCAGAATTCGTCAAGTCTTCCTACTCCAAATATTTCTTGATTTACAATGACGTACGGCCTGATAAACCCATTGTAAATTTAAAATGTCGTTTAATACACCTAACTTACCAAACATCACAGCTAAGCCTAGCCTACCTTAAATGTGCTCAAACACTTAGTAATTGCCTTCCTCTTCTTACCAGAAGCAGGAGACACAGATGGGCATTTTGCAGACACGATGGGATGCAAAAACACGAAACACAGTACTCAATAAAAAGGTTGGCAACACAGCACACTGTAGAGCGCCAGTTGTTCCCCGTGATCACATGCCTGACTGGGAGCTGCGGCTCGCTGTCACTGCCCAGCGTCACAAGAGAACATCGTGCCACATATCACCAGAGCAAATTCAAAGTATGGCTTCTACTGAATGCACACTGCTTTCCCACCTCTGTAAAATCAAAAGATTGTAAGTCGAATCATCGTAAGTCGGGGTTGTCTGTATAACTGTTCTCACCTCAGACTATGACTGGTCTGGTTTAGTAACTGAAATGGTTTAGTAACTGGAAGAACCCAAGCTTCCAGTGGGCAATCTAGCCTTACTCACCAGCTTTTGCATGATAACATTTTTACTATGGTAGCTATAATGATATGGTGGCACATTTGCCTCTAAGTTTCTAAGACGCAGTTAATGCTTTCGAGTTTCTAGATTTTAAAAACTTTCTATTAGCTAAATATTTATGCATCATTTATCCCAAAGAGATGTTTTTCTGCCCTTCCTTCAAGGGAAATTAAGATTGAAGCTTTTTGATAACATCAGTGTTTAGTCTATTAGTTCTTAGAATATAACTAGACCTGATGACAAATTCCAGGAAAAACAAAATAATAAATCTCTAATAATAAATGTTTGACTTGCAATTTTCTACCTAAGGGAAAAAAATGGCCCTTTTAAAAAAATGAGTTTTGTGATTATTCTCAAACTTAATGATAATTAGTGATTTGAACACTTTGCCAAGATTCTATTTTACATTCATTATTTTATTTAATATATAGCTATCATTTTCCTCATTTTCTTAACGAGGAAATGGAGACATAGAAATATTCAGTTTTTCCAAATTCACAAAGCAGGTAAAGCAAATGAACCAGGATCTGAAAACGGGCAGGCTGATTCCAGAGCCCTCAGCTGAAACTATACCCCCTCCATTTATGACTCCTCAGTGCTAATTTATTGATTTTGTTTTTCCTCTTTTTTTTTCTAATTTGAACTCCTATGAGAAAAGTTTAGCATATTAGGGTGAGTTCAATAATGCTTCTTCTTAGTTCTTTTAAGCACTTTTAACCTTAATTGTTGTTTAACTAATATAGTCAACCTTTGACATTCAGAATGTTGTTTTGTGTTTTACTAGTCATTGCTTGAACAATTCAGACAACTTTGCTGAATAACCTAGGAAATATTCTTAGCCCCTGGGAAGGGAGAGGCAATGAACAACTTTGAGAATCAGATGGAAGCTAAGTATCTGTTCCAAGGAAAGTTTCATTCATACAGTATTTTGCATGCAATTTCAGAGGCTTCGTGAGTTTAGGTCCCTGCTATCCTTTCCTCAGACTAATACAATGACAAAACATCCCAGCTCTTCCAAGTGAGTCTCAGCCAATCCTTCCCCATTTGCTTCTCTGAGAAGCAATGTCTTTAAGCCCTGTCCTCTTCTAGAACTGAAACTCTTCTCTTGGCTGCCCTGTAGTTTTTACTATGACAGCCTTAGAAGTGAATACGACTTACCGAGTACCTATCGGACAGCCAGGGTTCCCAATGCCCAGGAAGCATCCACTTAGAGTATTTCCAGTCGGCTTCTTCATGTCTTGCTGGAAGGCTTGGTTTCTGTGTTCCACACCAACAAACCTGTAAGTATTTATAAAGCTAAAGTGTAATGAGTCTGTTATCTCTTGTTATTCCAGAGCTTCCTGGGTGCCAAGGGAATAGTTTATATTGAATTTCTGTGAGAGATTTTACATTTGATTCAAACCACCCTTGGGGATTAAAATCCCTGAGTTATCCTGGGGTAACTAATGATGACTCAGATTGTGATGCTTGGGTGCATGTTCTCAGGATGATTCCCAAGTCCTTCGATGCTTGGAGACATTCATCCTGTCCTTGGCAGGGCATCTGCAGTGAGTTGCCTTGAAGTGGTGGCTGGGGTGGGGGCCCAGTTAATGTTTTGTGGGGAATTAGGTGAGGTTATGCAAAGACTGTATGATTAGGGCACATCTGCTACAGACACCAGAGAGGTGTTATTGGAAAGCCTCCCGAGTCAGAGGGATAGGGCTGCCCGCTTCTCAGTTATGTTCTCCTATGAATGAGTTCAAATGAGTGACTCTAGATAATTGTGTTGTGTTAAAGTGAATTTATTAAGAAAGTAAAGCATGCATATTTATTAAAGAAGCAAGGTAAGCAAATCTATCATCAGGCATGAAGCATGGATTGGCTCTTAGCTGATCTGAAGAGCCAGTGCAGTGGGAGTTCAAGGGGTTATACACCCTTTTGTCTATTGGTTTTTAAAAAATTCCTCGGCTAAATAGCTTGGTACAGATTAACTCTCAGCGTCCCTCCTTTTACTTTGTTATAGCTTTCCCAGAATTAAAGAGAAGCATATGGGGATTTTACCTTGACAAGCCCCGAGACTACTAGCTTCACTGTTTAAGCAGTGAAATAAAATTGCCCCCCCCTTTTCCTTTCTCAAAAATGGTTGACTTTTTTGTTCAGTGAGATAGGCTTTCAGCATTCCCTCTTCTCCCCATAGCCCCAGTAGTCCCAGGTTGATTTATGCTACGTATTCTCTGGTCAGAGACAAGTGTCCTTGGTTGGGGAAAATGATGGCTTTGTTATTTACAAGCTAGCTGCAAGCTCCCCAAACTGTTTGTGTTTAACTTTCTTGTCTCAGTTTCCCTACTCCTCTTGCTCAATAATTTTCCTAGCTTTTCACTAACCTGTAACACACCTATGGGATATTTTTGCTTGCAAAGAAAAGATGGCCATGACTAGCATATTTATCACAACAGATAGT